ATAACACAAATAAAAATACAAAAAATTCAAAAAAACGATAGGTGCCTGTTCATAATTATTTAGACGAACTTGATGATGGCTTTCATGTTTGTGCACCATGTAGGGATGCTGGAATAAAAAATCCTAGTAAATGGGCACCAAGTACATCGATATCAACCATAAACCGACACTTTGAAAGTAAACATTCAGATATTTATCAAGATTTTAATAGAAAAAATAAAAAAGTTACCCATGTATCCTCATATTCTACGATTAATAAAACTAACAGGAACCGTGTAGAGTCTTTAAACAATGACCTATACCAATTAATTATCGAAAGTCAACAGCCCTTTTCTCTAGTTGATGAATGTTTTTTTATTAAATTTGTTACAAATTTTGATCTAAGGTACAAAATCCCTTGTCGACAAACTATTTCTAAAAATATTAAAGATCAATTCGAATCTCTTAAAATAAACATAAAGAACATATTAAAATCAAACCGTAGTAAACTAGGACTTACACTAGATGTCTGGATGGCATATATGCAACAACCGTTCCTTGGTGTTACAGTACATTGGGTTGATATTGAGTGGTCAATAAAGGATCTTCTTGATATCATACCTTTACATGAATCTCATACTGGCGAATAGCTTGGAAAACAAGTTCTTGAGCTTGTAGAATCTTTAGAAATAAAAGAAAAAGTTATTGGTTTTACTAGGGACAATGCGTCAAACAATCGAACTTGTTTACAACATCTTCAAAAAAATATAAGCCCAAATTTTATATATGCTCAGTGTGCTGCTCATATTTTAAATCTTGCGGTTAAAGAAGGACAAACACATTATGCTGATTAGGTAATAAAAGCACGGAGTTTCTCTTCAAGAGTTAGAAATTCATCTCTGTTATTAGAAGAGATGAAACGAATTTGCACCATCTTAAACCGTTCGTTTCTCTGGCTCAAACTTGATGTCGTTACGAGGTGGAATTCTATCTATCTGATGTTCCAACGACTCATTAAAATTCAGGACATTACTGATAGCCTTGTAAGACTTCATCCTGATCTACAAGAAGACTATTTAGGGTCTAATGACTGGGTAATAATTGAAAAAATGGTTCAATTTCTTGAACCATTTTATAAAGCAATGTTAGAGCTATCAAAAACCTCAATACCTTTGCATGGATCATTAAGAATAATTTTTCAAGGTCTTTTAAAACATCTTGATAATTATATAGAAAATAATAATATAAGTGAAGCAGCTCAAAGGATAAAGAATAAACTAACTCGTTATTGGACCTACCTTTTTTGCAATTCTCAATGATTCCTGCTCTTCTTGATCCTTCAACTAAACTTAAAACTTTTCAAGAAGAGGACCATCAGTTAGCTATTGATCTTTTAAAAATTTCTTATTCTACCTATTGTCAACATCAAGAGATGACAGAACCCAAACATGATTCTTTAAAATATTTTCGAACCTTGGTAAATTTGAATAGAAATAAAGAAACTATCAATATTACTAATGAATTAGAGGTCTATCTTATATTACCTTCAGAACATGGTATTAATTCTCTGTGCTGGTGGAAAACCAACGAACATCAATTTCCAACTGTAGCCTTAATGGCAGCTGATTACTTTGCTCTACAGGCTACGAGCGTTCCCTGTAAATGTGCCTTTTCCATAGCCAAAAATACTATTAATTCTTCAAGAGCTAGTCTTCATGAAGAATCAACTAGAGCTTCCCTGTGTTTAAAAAGTTGGATCGAGGCAGAAATTCTGAAATAATTATCTATATTAGCGTTAGACCATAAATTTTTTTTTTTGTACGGTATTAAAATAAAGTTTAAAATAAAGTTCAAAGTATTGTTATACAAATTTTTTTTTCTATATAAATAAAATTTTGACCTACATTTTGATCAAATGGCATATCGTCCAACTCCATTCTCAAAGGTAATTCATAAATACTTTAGTACAGTATTTTATTCACTTGCTAGGGCTATTACATTTAACCATTTATTTATGTCAATTATTATTATTATTGTTATACCCGGTTAAAGATTTGACGATTAACGTTACCTATCCAAAAAAAAAAATGCGGCCTGTGTGGACCTGCAGAGTAGTTATTCTTAGGTATTCACGAACCGTAAGATTATTTCTGCATTAACGTTAAATATTCACCATTGCATAATAGCTCTTGTGAGCATCAAAAAAAAATTCTACAACCTAAGTATCCAAAGTTTTTATTTATGTTAATCTTCTTGAGTGCAAGATCTCTTATTAATTATATATTTTAATAAGCCGTTCATAAAATATTAACTTTAATCCTCTCTTATTCTAGAATACTATGAAACCTTAAAAGATGACCAATTGATATATATCTAAATTTAATTATCACATTCTATCACTTTTATTCAATCAAATTTTCCAAAGGTTTGATAAACTCGAAGAGTCAAAACCGAGTTGTTTTTAGAAATATTCTTGCTTGTATAAGCAAACCAATCTAAAATACTTTTAATATGGACGGATATATTGTAAAGCTTTAATATATAGTATAGTTATGGTTATCAGTTATTTGGTTATTTGGCACCCTACATTGGTATATTTCTATATACTGTATATATGTACGTATGTATGTACGTACACACATTAGGGTGGTAACTCAACTAAATAAATCAAAACTATGTGAGCAAACTATGGAATTTGATATATTACAGATTTTCACGTTACACGAATGAAATCAATTATTGCTATATTACATATCGATATCAATTTAACTGCTAATATATTTATTAAATTTAATTACTTTAAAACGATGCAACTTATTGAATACCCGAAGAATTACCTTGAGATTTTCACAAGTAACTTATTAAGTGTTGGAGAATAAAGTTACGCTTTTGGATTTTCTATTAACATATTGTAACCGTTGAATGGGAGAGCTAATAAAATAAGACAGAAGTGTTGCCAATCTAACTCCAACGGTGTACAGATAATAAGGGTAAGTGAAATGGGTCTTTTATAAGCGTTATAGAACTAAGAGGGCGAGATGATACTATAGAGTAACACTTTGATATCAAGGAATGATGATAATAGGCGATGCAATAATGGGTGATGCTGTTAAAGGTGATATCAAGGGGGGTGATCTTAAGGATGGTAATGTGTAAGCGGACGATGATTAAGTAATATCAGTGATAACTTTAAGTTCACTAACCAAATCTGGTAACTATACGTCAGTCGTGTTCTAATTACTAAGGTTAATGGCAATATTTGATTCCACACGTAGGTCAGAATTCGAGTTCTTAATAAACCAAACGAAGTTACAAGTCAATTCAGTCCGTCGAATTGAGTCTCTAAAGGGTTATTAAAGTTACAAGTCGAATTCAAAAGATAAAGTCTCAAGGGAAATTCAGATAAGTATATATTCTTTATTAGTTATTTGGGATTGAAAGTGGACAAGATGTCGTTCTTTATTGAATTGCGAGGTACTTATATACATTTTGTTCGGTTAGAGCGTTTACGCTCTTTTTTGGACGTATACACTCTAATTTGAGCGTGTACGCTCTTTTTTGAGCGTTTACGCTCATGGCGCAGAGATCAACAAATTTTGTGTAAGCGCGTATACGCTCTTGCATGGAATAAGTCACCAAGCCACTATCAACTGTTATTTTAGTATACTCATTTAAAATATTTACAGAGAAAGTCGGTTACTGCTATGAAAATAGAACGAAGAAGAACTATATACATAAATAATAATATAATAATAAAGGATAAAACTATACTAATAAAGAGAAAAAATTTTATTTATTACAATATAAATTTGAACATTTGTCTTATATAATTTAAATTTCATTACTTAAAGTAAAAAAAAAGTTAGAATTTAAACATAAAAGTCGAAACTTTAATAAATTTTTTGCAATAAATTGAGCGTAACTTTTTAGAGATGACTTCTGTGAAAAGTTTTCAATTAAACGAAATTAGAAAAAGAAGTGCAATGTCAAGATGCGTTCTTTAAAAATTGTGCATTATTTATTAATTAAATATATAGATTATTTTAATTTTGCTGATTAAAATCTGATTATAGTAAAATCACTAATATTGCTAATATAGTTTTGATTTACTTAGTTGATTTACCACCCCAGTACGTACGTACATACGTATATGTATACGTATCAATTTATAGAATCTATTATGCCGAAATCATAAACTTAACCGAATCGGCCGAAAAATCATTCGGTTAATTTTTATCAGGTGTTTCAGGAATTATGATAATAGCTGTAATTAAAAGTATTTTAGCCGATTCAATTAAGTTATTAATTTCGGCATATTAGAAATTTAAGATCAGGTGACTATTCTACACCTGGAACCAACCCGGAACCCACCCGGAACCTACCCAGAATTTTTTTTTCATCTATTGTCTGGCCTTACAGCTTTTTCATAAATTCTGGGACACCAGACAAAAAATTAACCAAACGATTTTTTCGGCCCAATTCAGTTAAGTTTATTGATTTCGGCATATTAGATTTATAATAATTTAAGATTAGGTGGCTAATATAAAATCTGATAAAATTTATTTTATTTTTTTTTACAATTAAATATTTGAAATTTACGGACTTCAAGTTGTGCAATTGTTATTCGCCAGACAGTTTTAAATAATTAATTTGACCTGAAAAAGTTGCTTGACAATTTTGAATAGTTAATTTGACTATACCTTTCCAATTCACTGTAGTTTTAGCAATATTTTCACCAACCTTCTTAGGAGCCAAACCAAGTGAACCAATTTTTGAAGCTAAAGCACTGTAAGTAACAACTTCATCACCAGTAGCTCTAAGATAAAATTTCATTTGGATTGATCTTGGGCATCATATTGAGTACGTTTTGCTTCAATGAAAAACTTTTCTTTAATCCTTATAAAATTTTGGCCAAACAAGAATTTATTCTTATACTGTTTCATTATGGGATGCTTAAATAGAGAATGTTCACTTAATTGCTTATCGTACAAAAACATACATATAATATCCGATAATAGTCAATATGGAGTTGATTTGCCAAACAATAAATTGAAAAATTCAGAATGTTTCCAAAAGATTTTTTTTATAGAGAATATTATAAGACTACATATGCATATTTATTTTTAAAGCTTCTTCATTGGCAATTTAGAAGGCTAATATATTTATTATGAAGTTGAATATAGATTTTAAATGTGATTTAGCTGAAATTATGAAAACGTGATTCAAGCAACATGACTCAGGACCCAAAATTGATAAAGCAAAGGCATTTAATCCTAATTCAGTTTGGCTTGAGGTGATGTTTTATTGAGGATGATAGTAAGGCGTCGCTGATATCATATAGTGGAAACTAAAGTCATTGTCATGTAAATGAGTATGAATTGCTTTTTGTTAACTATAGATTCCCCCACCAATACTAATGATTTTAATCATAGTAGCAAAGCCCCAGTATTTATAATGTATAGAAGTTCCTTGATTTCATATAACTAATGAAGGCAGATAGATAATAGGAAAATTAGAATCATAATTAAATAAAGACCAAACCCAGAAATCTTAGTGGCAGTAGAATCCTTGGTTCTTGGACCAAATCTTCCATGATGGCACAATATATCTTTTAGACATAGTATTATTTTTACTGTCATATTATACACAAAACCTGATCTACAATTTTGATAATATAATGATCTATATAGATGTGTGAAAAATGTCTAAAAAAAAGTTATTCTGTTTATTTTATACAAATATTATACTTACCAATCCTTTTATATAGTTGTCCGAAGGCTGAGCTATAATACACTCGATGCTTATATTAACAAATTCTGAATTTTGTATTTGTAACATAGATCGTTTTCTTAATTTTTTATGTATTGAGTTTTACTTTATTAAAAAAGTATAAAGATTTTATTTTATATTTAATCAAGAATTTTTATTATCAATAATTGATATTTACTAATCATATTTAATTATTAGTTGAAGGCGTGATGACTTAGTGAAGTGGTCAAGTTGTCACCCCCCAAGTGGCAGATCTAGGGTTCAATTCCTACCAGCGACGATTATTGAATACTTAATCTGTATATCAACGGATATGTCAACTTAATTGCGTATGCTGGCGTAAGATGCTGTAACTAGATCTCATATACTACGAGCTAGGGCACTAATTAGGAAAGACCACTTGCAAATCCCGAGTATAGCATTCATTTGGGAAAGGTTGATAGTCAGGTCTATGAAGAAATGCAAGCCGTACGACTGGTGCAAATCCATGATAAAACTATATAAGGGTTATCTCCGGATGCAGAGTAGGACTGTATATTGGTACACACATTTACAAATACAAATACATGTACGCAAACACAAACAAACACTATGAACAATTAAGATCTTCTGTAGGACATTAATGCAGCCGCCAGCTTACTAAAAGATACATCCGTTGTAGTTAGTAAGGGGAATGAGGTATGGAGGCAGGTGGTAAAGCCTCTATACGTGAAGGATCAGTATAATAACAGTCAGACCAAACATACATGGCAGACTATGGAACCCTTCGCAGCTGTGAGAGCCGAGTGTAAAACGGTGAGCGCCCCTACAGAAGAAATCCTATCCAAATCATTATCAACACCACTAGACTCCTATGATTTGGATATATGCTACAATCGATACCTTAACTACTATCAACTACCTCTACTAAGAGAACCACAAACTATTATTCATTCAGACAACATTTAACACAAAACAATGCTAAGCATCTTGCTTGTTATGCTCTTATCTCAGTTAATAGTGACAAAACTGAAGCACATGTATACTTACCTAACGATTCTAATATACTACCAAACCACCATATTTTTTCTATATTATATGACTCAGCCAACATTCCACTAAGATCTAAATTAAACACACCTATTTTTCCCACTACTTCCTCCTCCTCTAGTACAACTACTCCACCAGTAGACTATTCTGTTAACTCCAGGACTAATCAGGCACTTAATATCTCTATATATACACACAATGTTCAAGGATATAATGTTAACCTCAAACAACAAGTTTGGGAAGATGTTTGTCTTGCTAATAACCTTAATATTATAAGCATCACTGAGACCAAAATTGCTAATGAAAACACCAGTACCAAATTCCAAAAATCTAAATTTTTCTCATATTACTGGTCCTGTACCGATAGCTCCAAAGCAGGTACAGCAATCATGCTAAGCAAATGGCTTAATCCTCATATACACAATATTACAACCTTTCCTGGATATGCAATTGCTATCGATCTTTTCTTTAAACATGATTTCAAATTTAGAATTATCTCTATATACCTACCTAATGATGACTCTCAACTTAGATTACAAATTCAAAATACTATAATTCAATGGATTCAACAAGCAACTAGCAATAATCTGCAACCAATAATAATAGGAGACTTTAATGCAGAAAATGACAATTTACACTCGACCTCTATTAAATATAAGCTACTTCAGTTTCTCCAATATAACAATATATATGACTTAGCAACTCATACACAATCTTCAACATTTACTTGGCAAAGTAATAGAGCCCGAAGTTGTATTGACTACATATGGGCTAATCATACAATTCTTCGATACTTAACTTCTTTCTATACTGATGATTCTGATACTAGTACTACAAGTGACCATAAAATTTTAATTTCTTCTTGGTCCTTCCCATATGCTTTCACAGGTAAAAAACGAACTACAACAAAAACCCGCAAAAGAGTATTTCTTTACAAGAATATGAATCAGGAATCATGGCAAAATTTCACAGATCAGATTGCTTCTAACCTTAGAAATAACAACACACCACTGGACACCAACATATCCGAATCACTTGAAACTACTTGGCATAAGATTCAAACAAGTATTATTAATGCCACATTACAACATATTCCAAACAAAAAATATACAGTATGCAATTTTCAACATATATTTTCACATAAAGCATCCCTATTACATTTCAATCTCAAAAAACTTGAAAATATTATTCGACAAGTGAAAGTTGCACTAAAAAATCAATCTCCTATTCCATGCTATCATAACAATACCATCAATCAAATTAACAAAACCCATCAACTTAATATTCAACCAATATCACCAGAATATCACCTATTAACGAACTGGATTGCCACCAGCAATATAGAATGGAAAGCATTATATCATGCACGCAACATTGAAAACATCAAAGAGATTAGTCAACAAATTAGTGACAACATTGCCAAAAGATGTAATAAACTCCAATCAAATCCAAAAGCAATGATCAATAGTATTTTAAATCGACATAAAGATCCTGTTAGATTTGAAAATATAAAGACAAACAATGATATTATTACTGACCCAACCAACATCAAATCTCATATTCAACACCACTTTGACCAATGGACCGACTACAGGCCAATTAGTCAAGATATATTTGACAAAGATTGGAAAAATGAATATAATCCTAAAATACATATCCAACAAGAATGGTATAATAGTGCTCTCCAGAACTTTTCAATTGATGAAATCTCCAATACTCTATCTCAACTTCCAAATAACAAAGCATGTGGCCCTTCTGGCATCAGCTATGAAATGTTTAAACATGCTGGCTTTTCTTTTCTTCAAGCAACAACTGCACTCTTTAATCAATGCATTAATCTTAATACAATACCTAAACAATGGAAACAAGGAAGAATCTATCCTATTTCTAAAAAACCTATTTTTGATGGCAACTTAACTAATACCCGATCTATTAGTTTACTTGAACATATTAAAAAATTATATACCAAACTTCTCACTAATCAACTTAACCAAATTTTCACTAAATATACAATCCTCTCACCATACAATTACATTGCTCTTCCTGGTAATTGTACAACAATCCTATTACATATCCTCAACAATATTATAGAAGAAGCTTCTTGCAACTCTAAAGAGCTATGGCTTATATCTTAAGATATGAGTAAAGCTTATGATTCTGTCAACCTTTACCTTTTTAGACAATCACTTTCTCGAATCAACATGCTATCTAAACTTCAAGAAACTCTATGCAACTTGCTAGCAGATCATCACAACCAAGTTATTACTAACTTTGGTTTTACAAACTCTTATACTGTCAAAAATGGAATTGACCAAGGTGAAACTATAACACCTCTATTTTGAAGAATCTATTATGATCCTCTTATTCACAAAATTGCCACTAAGTTTACTGGCTATACACTATCTACTTCTTGGAAAACCCAACTTACTCACCCATGTAATAAACATCTTCAAACTTCTGTCTCAGTATTGGCCTATATGGATGATACTCTTTGGATAGCCCAATTTAAAGAGGAACTTGAAGAAATCACAAATACAGCTACATCCTTCTATAAAATGGCTAATCTCCAAATCAACCCATCCAAATCTATCTTTGCAACAAATACCAAACCCACATCTACATTCTTTTTTAATTCCAGACTTGACTCAATTCCAGCTAACCAACCATTCAAATATCTCAGATGTTGGTTCACACTTGACAACAAACATATACAACAAACCAAACTTATATAGAATGAGACATATCAACTCACTTATACTGCAAGCACTAAGAAAATTACTGATAAACAAATTGCTTATATTATTAATACAGTAATTATTCCTACCTTAGAGTACAGAATTCATAATATTATATTATCCCGTACAGTATGTGATAATATCTTGGCCAAGTACCTTACAGTTGCTAAGCACAAATCAAATCTATCCAGATCTATTCCTAATAGTACTATGCTTAATCCATACTTATATAATATTCATAACATTTGAGATCTACAACTTTAACACCATATTACCAACTTTCACTTAAGAATTAATAAC